CCCCAAAACCCCAAAACCCCAAATAATCATTTATTGAATTAAAGGGGGGAAATGATTAAATTTTAGGTCTTAAATAAAGCTTTTGATGCTTAAAACATCTTTTAAAAAATTGGTTGTTATTTTTCAATTAATTATAATTTACAGTAGTAATGGAATAGGATTAGGAACAAATCAACATGCTTGCTAAATAGTATGGCTTTTTGTTTCTTCAAGATTGTCCAAAGGCAATGTAAATTGGAATAGATATTCAATATTGGTAGATTAGATCGACCTTCAAGGGAGTGAAAGTAATTTCCTCCAGGTGCTCAATATGTTTACTATTTACTGAAAAATAAAGAATTTTCTGCAAAAATGGGATTCTTTATTTATATTAACCACAGATAACCAGATAATTAAGATGTCGTGATGAGAAAATGGAATGATCATGAGTTTTAGATATTAGATCAACAGTAAGAAGAAATATCTTATCAAGAAGGAATGAGAAATATGGATTTGATAATTTCTTAGAATTTTACCCAATAGATAATTATCAATAATGACAAGGACTCTCAAATTTTATAAACTAAAATACTATCAAAAGAATTGAATCATTAAACCATTGGATTATTTGAGTGAAGAATAAGAAAGTCTATTTAGAGTAGATTAAGTAATTTAATAGCAATAAGAGAAAGAGGAGAATAAAGACGATGAATTAAATACGAATGAAGATTATGATGATATTGATTAAACTATTGAAAAATTAGAGAAGTAAGTAAGGATTTTGAGAAAAATTGCAGAAAGCTAAGAAAAGAGATTAACATACAGTAATCTCTATTACTCAGATATTCCAAAGAGAATTATATTAACGCATCTTTAAGGAGAGGCACTAACTCAAGCTAAGGATGATAAGTCTATATTCTGCAGGAAGTATCAGATACCTTTGTGGCATTTTATTAGGTGAAAATCTAGAAAAGCTATGATTAGTGGATGAAGATAGTTAATCTTCTATGTAATTGTGAAATTGCAGTGAGCATCTCAAATAACTACCCAAGGATTTCTTCTAAGCTGAACTAAGCAAGTTAAACATCTTGAATTAAAAAAACAATTGACAACATGATAATTGAATGAAATCTTAAAGAACTTAATTGAAATATCCTCAGTTTAAAGTATGCCTCAAAATTAAGGCAAAGAATTGATAAACTAAGTCAGATGCTTTCTATTGAATATGGATTTCTACCTATTCTCTAGCTCGAAAAAAGTTTATCCATCAAGCATAAATATCAAGACAGATAAGAAATTTGATGATATAAATAATGATGATTTACCATTTGTTTCAGATGAATCAGAAGGCTTTATTTCATTTTGATTGGCTAATAACTTTGACTGAAAACTAATTAATATTTAAAGGTATTTATGAAACTAAGTTTAACATTAATTAATCGAAATATGTCATAATTTTCACAAAATTTGATAACTTATTATTTTTCATTTCTTTTTTCTTAAAAAATTCTTGCATCTCATTTTTTAATTATTTTTCAAGCTTTCCTCACTCTCTTTATACAGAAGACAATTCTTCCTTTTTAGTTTTTCCTTTTCATTGAGAATGTGACATGCAAGGACTCTTCCAATCTGCATGATAAACTTAGTTTTCCCTTCTTAGATTTCACATAAAAATCTTATCTTCTGCCTACCTCTAGCTGTTTTCATTCCTGGTATTTCCAAATAATAGAAATGCTTAGCTCATTCATTTTGCAAGGAGGCTCTTAGATCCTAATCCTTGTCTTCTATTTCAGTGAACTTAACTTACTATTGCTATTTGAAGACATTAACAGGTTTCTAACTCTCATTTTAAGAGTGGAATCAATGGGTATTCCGATGATTAAGAATTCATATGTAGTACTTTTTAAAACTTAAATGGTACATTTCTCTCAAAGAATATGTAGTCCAATACTTTTAAGATGCTTTTATTTTTACATAATCAATTGCATCTTATTTCATCTCATTATATTCATCCTTCTATTAGTTATTAAGCTCCAATGAATGACCAATTTGTTTAATTTGAATGATCAAGAAATGTTCATCAGCAACTGGACCTGCGAGCAAAGTATCATAAAATTGTTTTCTAGTGATCAAATATCTTATGCTTCTTAATCTATCATTAGAATTAAAGATAAAATGCTGCTTAAATTAGGATTTTCAGAGCAAAACCAGCAGTTTATATCTTCAGCTACTTTTACTTTCTTCATTTTAAATTTTATTATTAGTTTTCTACCCAAAATATTTGATCCACTTTCTTCAACTACTTTTTATGCACTCTCCTTTTCTTAAAATTCTACTAACAAGAATCCTTTACTCCTACCCCTCTAGATAAAGTTATTAATAAATAGTCTTACCTAATCAAATTATCTTTTAATGAACTTAATATATCCATATTTCAAAAGGAAAACCTATAAATTCTCAAAAACTAAATGTTTATCAAAGCCTCCAGCATATATAATCTTCTTCTCCTACTACTAGCCAGCATTATCATGATGATAATTATGTAACCTTTATTCTAATTCTAATCTTTAAAATTTCTTCTCTTTTTAAACTTCCTTTTAAGAATTCAAAATAACTCCTCCATGATAAAGCTTCCTTCATATGCATACTCAAAACTTTCTCAAGCTCACCATATTAACTTTAGAATTCAAACTGGTTCTAAGTGTATTCATTAGGATCTAGAGTTTAAAGATTGTAGAGTTCTTCCTTGTTCATTTGTTATAAGGGTTACATTTCAATAGCCTGAATATATACTTATTTGGATTCAGATGGTTTATGCGTTCCTATAATAGATCCTACACTGGCAAATCTGCTAAAAAACTTGTCGAGATTCAAAAATAGAAGACTTTTATAATGAGTATCAATATTTGATGAGTAAATATATCTTGGAGAAATCATATTTATCAATGCTGAACACGATGAAGAGCTGTTATAAAATATTTGCTCTCCATCACTCTGACTTAGACTACATCATAGATTAAAAATAAAAATTGAAAATTCTTACGAATTAGGATACTCTTCAAATATTAAATCAAGAGGTCACTACCCTGTAAAGAATAAATCTATGCCTTTTTACTGGCTTTTATATGATTGCCCGACTTCATTATAATCATCAATTATTTTCTAGAGATCTGCTTGATTATAGTAATTACCGAATTACCAATAAAATGTTGATTATTGTTCTATTCTTAAAACGTTAAACTATTAATATCAGTTCAGCTAAGATAGCAAACTCTCAACCCATTAATCTTTTTGACTCCTAGGCCTAAAAATCTCAAATCTATACTTAATTCAAATTCATCCTAAGAATTTGAAGAGTTCATTAATGGACCAAAAAATTTGTTGAATCTGCAAAGAAAGTTTTTAATGGAACTTTGATTGCTGATTTAGAGTTCAATATTTCTTTATAAAGCTCTTCTAAATCCTATATTCTATCATAAGAATTTATAAATTTACATCCTCATTAGGTGGGAAAAATTTTCCAGAGCAAAATAGAAAATCAAACATTCCATTTTTAGACTAAA